CAGTAATGGAGTTGACAATTTATAATATTGTATCGAATAATTTATAAATAACAGTCATCAGTTTAATTATATAGGATTTATAATTAAAGGTGAATTGGAGAATCAAGTTGATCAAAGCATTCGTGTCATTCTAATTAATATAGATTATCTGTAATTTCAACAAGTGTAATAATTTCTAAGTGGTATGAAGCTCTAGATCTTTATATTTATATAAAAATAAGCAATATCAATGCATTGATAAAAGCGTAACTAAATATAAATTAGCAATTTGGAGAACTTTGAAGCTTTTTTTTTTCTTAAGTGTTTATCAATTTTTGTTTGTTTATTTGTTAAATATTCATTAAATTCAATAATTTATAAGCTTATTTATAATATTAAAAGGTTAATAAACATGTTTACTAACATCGATTATTATTATTTTTTTTTTTAAGAAAATTAAGTAGAGAATCATTTCCTCTTCCTGTTGAATATGGTATAAGCTTTAACGTTTCATGCCTCATAACTAATGGTTATATATTAAAATGTATTTAATAAATTAAAATATTAGAATAATTGTAAGGGATGATTATCATGTTTGTTTTGAATAAGTAATAAGGTAAAGAAATTATATATAAAAACAAAGAAATTTTCTAATATACTTTTAATATGAACGTAATTAGTGAGATAGATTAACTTTTACTCGTTATAATTTATAAATTTAGGCATATAATGTGTATTCTTACTAATTCTGAAAGATTCTCTATTACTTAATCTTGTCAAACTTCTAGAGAGGTCATTTAATTAACAATAATTAATTGACTATTCAAATTTAGAAAGTTACTGGAATACATAATATGTAAAGAATATTTTTAAAGTAAATTTTACTTCCATTGTCATTAGCAACCTTGGATAACTTATATGAAGCTATTAGATGTCTTCATCTAGCAGATGCTCGCATTAACAAAATTTCTTAATGAATATTGAAGACTTAATATTCATTCAACGTAATGAGCTCTCATTTTAGGGAGTGTCATTTATGAATTACCTGAAAATTGTATGAAAGACAGGTTGATGTATAAGTTCATGAAGTTATTACTAAAAAAAAGAAAAAGGAGAAAAATATAAAAAATAATAATAAAAATAAAAAAAAAATTTGGTGCTTCACATAAATTAATTTATAATTTACTAAATAACTTTAGAATATTTTAAATCATTTTTTATTTGTAATAAAATTTAAACTTCATTTTCTTAAAAGTTCTTTTATATTTTATATAGTGTTTCTTGTTTACTTAATTAATGTCTTTTTTAATAAATAATTTGTTAAAATAGAGTAAAATATTTTTTTAAAAAAGTTCTGTAGAAGAACATAAAGTAAGGACAGAAAAAAAAGAAGAAATATCTTTTATGTTATAAAAAAATTCCCAGGATCAGTAGAAAGAATCTGAGTAAAAAAAAAAGTGAAAGCGAATAAAGATCTGAAAGAAGGTAATGTATATTATTCTGAAAGATAAAATGGAGAAAAATATATAAAATAAATTTTTATAAATAATAAATTACTTCATATACAACAGAACTTAATATATTTAAAAATAAGGATTAAGATGTAAAAAGAAAAAAAAATTGCTACTCATGCATGAAATTAATAATTCATAAAGTTAAATATTATAAAATATTAAAGAGAATATATAAGAATAAATAAAGTAAATTGATTAAAACTGTATATAATAATTAAGAAATTAAAATGTAATAAATTATATTACACTTTCCATCAAAATTCACACAATTTAATTAATATGAGACCTCTGAAAATGAAGGTGCAATTATATCTTCAAATATCCTAATGCAGATGATATAATTAGTGAGTTACTAAATTTTAGAATAATTATATACAGTGTACTAAATAACTATTATAGTAAATACAATATTGTTAAAGTTGAATAATTTATTATGTCTTTCTATATTATAAATTAACATAAAAAGAAATAAGATGGTAATTAATTTTGTAAAATATTATTTTATAAAATATATTTATTAATATAAAACTTCATTTTAATACAGTTTTAA